TATTCTGTCGGTGCTCTCCAACTGATTATTAGGCGGGTAGTGTGGTCAGATTTTCACCCACACAGCTTTCGATCCACACGATATCTACTGATATTAATTTTGGATCCCAACAAAAAAAAGATGATTTCTATTGAATAGAAGTTTCCAATCTAACTTCATTAATTTATGTGGATGGCCACAAAAATTGCTCAATATCAATGAAATATTCTCTTTTTTTTTTTCTCCGTTAGTTGTTGGAGCCCAAAAAAACTTTGGAGGTTAATTCAAGTCAAATTTGGGGATTGAAAAGAATTCAATTTCTACGAATAATCATTTGTCACGCATGTTTATTAGACCGCGTTGCTTGCAATGTGCAAAGGTGCTTGTCGATTTTTAAACACATGCCTAAATGGCTAAACAACTCGGTGCATTACTAAACTCTACTTGTGTACATAGCAAACATATATTATTTATTAAGGCAAATTACACTAAGCCTGTGTTTGGCAAGTAGGTTTGCAGGCTTTTTTGGCTATTTTAGCCACAAAAAACAAAATAGGCTATTTTAGCCATAACAAACAAAACATCACATCCAATCCATAATCATTACATTCTTCTCTCACAAAAAAACTCAAAAAAGTCAAAAAGCCAAAAAGCCCTTCCCAAACCAAGCTTTTAAGCCCAGGCTAAAATAGCCAAAAAAGCCGAAAAGCCAAAAAGCCAACCTACTTCCCAAACGGAGGCTAAGACTCTCTATACTTTGAAATTTATGTCACTGTAACATGTGACTTTTTAATTGTGATTTATTTGACTTTTAATTTTGAATTTTGTTATAAATAAAGACAATTAAAGATATTTGTTTTGCAAACGGCCTATTTCAAGGGCAAAATCGCCATATAACCTATTTTGTGTTAGTTAATCAATATGCTATTTGAAAAATAATGGCCTTTCTTTTAATGAATAATGCGCCATTTTCTTGGTTACAAAGTTCTATTTAGTTTGATTTTCATAATCTATTTTTAGAAAAAAAAATTAAGAAATTAAAAATTAATTTGGTGGGAAAAAAAAACATATCATTTTTATATAATTTTATCTTTTGGGTGAGTAAAAATTATTTTTTATATTTATTTTCGTTAAATTAGTTTTTATTTTTTCAAAAATCAAACATAACGACAACTTTGATGTCATTATTTAACCAATCCATTAAATTAAAAAATTTAAAACTACAAACATTTCATATTTTAAAATCAATTACACATTAAAAATCTAATAACCATCCATTACATGATAACCATCTAAAATATCTGTTAACTACTAAAACAATCATCTATTACATGATAATCATCCAAAAACATCAACAAAATCAACCACCCATTACATGATCATCATCCAAACATAAATTAAAAATTAATTTGGTAAAAAAATAAAAATGTAAAAATGTAAAGATTTAGGAAAAATTATTTATAAGCCCTATTAAGGAGACTTATGTTACATGTGATTCGACTAAAAAACTTATGTTCCCATAAGTCCTATGGAAAGTTTGTTGACACATTTATCCTCAATATTAGTTGTTAATATCATAAATAATAGTAAAATCATATATAGGAAATTGAATGTTACCATAGATCATATCTATATAAATGTAACGTAACATGACACCTACATAAACGTAACGTAACGTGACACCTATGATCTATGGGAACATTCAATTTCCTACATAAATCATATCTACATAAACGTAACGTAACGTGTCACGCCCCAAAATTCGGACAATTAAATATTATATTAGGACTAACCCCAATCAATATTCCATCATCCAAATCTTAGGGGTGAAACAAAAAAAACTAAACGCAAACAAAACCATCCACCATAAATGCATAACTAACCAATACCTCATCATCAAGGTAATAATAAATATATAGTCAAAACAACTTAAATAAAGTACGGTTACAAACCATGCCAAATTATTCCAATACTAAAGTCATAAAAAAAATAATAATAAATACATGAACTACTAACAACCCTAAGCGCAAGAAAAAAAAAGAAATCCAAGAAATATGCCCAAAAACTATAGTTACTTCTCGTCACCACCGTAACCTCAACTAATCCTGCAAAGGAAGCTCAGCTGCGCTCAAACAGAACGCACCCGAGTTGCCAAGAGACAAAACGGGTCAGTATACAGGTATACTGGTATGAGTACAATATTTAACACCCACGTGTCCACCAGACATAGACAAAAATACATTTAATTCTTATCACGGGACAAGACAAGTAGTTCCAACCGCACCGAGACGAATAGGTAGTTTCCCGAGATACGGTGGCATTTAGTTTCTTGTCCGTACACAACGAAATATAAATTGATTATAACATAGACAAAATAGAAATAAAAATATGGTGGGTCAGCTCTGCATAAAAAGTTAGTAAGACCCACCATCCTACAAAACAAATAAAGTTAGTATAATTTAATCATAAGAAACTTGTTGAAAAAAAAATTAAAATTATACCGTTTCATACTTAAATAATTCAAATTGATCAAAACTCAAAGAACGAAAGTTGTACAGAATCAAATTTTCTAAAAGATAACGTGAACGAATTTAACAGAAACTGAATAGGTTAAGAGAAAAACTTGATATAAAAATCTAGACAGAATTCAATCGAAAAATCTATAACTGAAAACGAACAAAAACTGCCCTAAGATGATTTTTTTCAAAAAATTTCAAAACACCAAAAGTGTACAGAATGATGTTTTACTTCAGTTTTCGTGAAACCAATAAAAATGAGCTCGTTTCGTGAGTTAAAACAACCTCTAAAATCTGCCTTGCTAAAATGAATCAAACCGACAATAATCAAGATCATCCGATTATAAGTTCTAATCGATCTTTTTGATAAAAAGCTAAAATACAAAAGTTGTCTAGAATCATGTATACATGCCTCTGCTCAAATTTCATAATTTATCAAGATCGTTTACTATTTTTTTATCATGTACATATCAGTACCATTCACACTATACTAATAAATTCATAATTAAATTCTTTGTACTTTAACTCTACCACTTCGGCTCTCCCCTTCCGGCCTACACATATATCCCATGTGCCTCCCGTATATCTAACACCGCTCCGAAGCCAAACTTGCACAGGGATATCATCCCGAGTTTGACTCACACTCCCCGGATGGTTAGCATATACGTACGCGCGCAAATCAAAGCGCTTACTCATGAGAACGAGGCAACAATATATATATACACAACATCTCACACATGAGAATAAACATAACAATGCCAAGCCTAAAGCATTCAAATAAATCTCATTATCCTCACTTTTTTTTATTCACTCTTTCTCACCATCACTCAAATAAAACAACAATCCATAGAGTCATGGTGGAATATAAGGAATTTATCTATGGGTTCCTAATTAATTTTAATTTCATATAACCATATTAATTTTTGTTTCATATGACCATGAGGGTGATTACAATCATAAAATAAACCCATATAAAAATCTTAAATCTGACATACACAATTAATCAAAATAATTAAAATCAATCAATCAACTAAAAACCCTAAACTCTACCTACACAACTAATCAAAGTAATTAAAATCAATCAATCATCTATAAACCCTAAATCCTACATCCACAACTAATCAAAATAATTAAAATTAATCTATCATCTTTATGTAAAAACAAAATTAAACTAACATCAAACAAATAAAAATAAATAAATAAATAAATAAAACAACGAATTAAACATAAATAAGGGAAATGAGTTTTGTACTCACAATATTATTTTAAAGATCAAAGAAATATTTAGAAGATTTATAAAGTCACCAAAACAAAACCCAAATCTTTTCTTCCTTTTCCCCTTTCTTTCTCGGCGTCCCTCACTGTTCTCTCTCTCTCTCTCCCACGGCTGCCTTCACCTTGCAAATTCACTTTTCTTTTCTTTGATTTCCCTGATCCATAATCTAACCCAATTCACTTTATATAATATTATACTAAAACCTAATCCTATTCTTAACTTAATAAACCATTATAATATATTATATTATATAATACAACATAATTATAATATATATAAATATAAATATAAATATAAGATTATATATATATATATAACGGAAATTTTGAGAAATTTTAGATATTTGTTATGTTCCTGCTCTGTGACGATCTACTCACCTCATTACTCCTGTTCTGTGAACATCTGCTTGAGTTACTACTACCGGTCGACGCCATTTGCCTAATTTTGGCCACTCGATGCCAAGGCTTCAACTTTGAAATGGCTCCCTGACATATATAACCTGCCGTAGTTGTACTATTTTACATGTTCTCACACTGTTGAATGAAGTTAAGCTAAAAGTTATATACCAACTACATATTGCCAAGGCATTTGCTAGGGCACACCTTGCCTTAAAGGTTTTGTTGCTCCTGGTTCTTGACTACACTACTCATTTGAAGAATTGTCTATCCACCAACTCAAGGCTCAAGGCTCAAGGCTGAGCTTGAGTCAAATAGACACTCTATAGTTAAAAGCTTAAGAAACGGTCATGCTCTGGTTGGTTAAGAAGATGGACTAAAAATGGATAACTCAAAGGATCCTGTGACTAGGGCTGGAAGAATGGCTGTTTGATCATGAGGGTTCTTTTCCTCCATGTTGCCTGGATCTGGTTGGAGCATTTGGAGAATTCTCAATATAAATGAGAATCTATGGCCTTTAAGATTAATTGATCTTTCAAACCAACTCACATGGACAAGGTCAGATCAATAAGAAATGAATGAGAATTTAAGTGTTAATTTGATTTCTTCAGGCTTCATTTGTTGGGTACTCTCTCTTGTAAGGTCGGGCCTGAGTTTTTTTATGCCTCAGTTTTTTTGTCTACCACTTTCTGATTCTTGATTGGTCAATGTGACCATCATTTGTACTTTGAAGTATATATCTGCATTTATGTTTTATTTTACTTTCTCCTGATTAATGATAGTCTATTGCCTTTAAAATTGAAATTTACTCCAGTGACCAGTCCGCATTTTTAATGTAACACCTTATATATATGAGATTTCAGATGGCAAAAGAATTCAATGAGAAGTCGGGTATTTCAGGACATATTCCACTCGGAAGCTTTAATGCCATGTTCAATTTCACTGGTTCCTGGCAACTTGACGCAGTGGTTACAAAATCTCTTGCAATGATCGGACATGTGATCCCCTTATATATGGTTAAATTAGCAAAACCAGATTTAATATTGAATGAGGAAGTCAAGCGTGCTGTTCCTTACTCGTGGGATCCTGCATCCTTGGCAAGGTATACAATTCATCAGACCCCTACACAAGCAAAAATATACATGCATGTACCTATTTATGATGTTTTTGATCTTCTGGAAGGGAAAATCTTGACTTTTGCTTTGGAAGTGGTTATCCAGTTTAAAGTGTATCAATAGCCTTTACCTTGTGTTTGCTTAAAGGATTTGAGGAGGGATTGGAAAGGGAAAGAGAAAAGTTTTAGGGAAATAGTGGAATAAATCATGCCTATATTTCACCTAGTTTCACACACCTTTTCCCTTTCCCTTTCCCTTTCCATTTCCAAATCCTTCCCCAAATCCCTCAACCAAACACAACATTAATGTGTCAACATAATAGACCAATAGGGGTTAAAAGAATCCAACAAGGTAGTGCCAAATTTCTCCTGAGTCTGGTCCATATGCAATTTAATCTTTGATCAAATGTTATGGTTAATCGTGATCTGTGCTTTTGTTCTGGGGCTTCATCCCTATATATTTTTGCGCCACCGTGTTTTAGCTACTTTGAGACACTCTAGGAGTAGTCATATTAAAAATCAAATGTGTTACCCTTTGAAGATGGATGTCACTTGTATCCTCTGCCATTTTGGGAAATTTTTGCAAATACCAACTATAGTGCTTTTTTTTTTTGGATTGGCAATAAAAGAAAATTATTAGACAAGAAAAAAGGAAAATTACAGTGCTTTACTTTTGACAAAATCATACTTACACTAGGATGATAGGGCCTAAAAATTTCACAACACAGAGATCCATTATGCTCTGGTTGCAGATGATATGCCTACAAAATTCTGTTTCCGTTGAATGGTTCTAAATCGTCTGGCTTCTGACTCTTAGTTTCCTGTTTTCAGCTTTATTGAAAATTATGGCACCCATGTTGTTACTTCTGCAACGATTGGTGGAAGAGATGTAGTTTATATCAGGCAGCATCAGTCATCTCCTTTGTCAGCAACGGACATTGAGAATTATGTGAAAGACATTGGAGATCAGAGGTTTTCAGATTCGAAAAGCCAGTCCGTTGCCCCCTTAAAATATAAGGACAAGGTCAGTATGGTGGTACTGTTCAATTGTTCTTCAAAAAATTTATTTTACGATTAAGCCTTACTTCTATGGATGATTTGATCCATTAGTCACTCTGTCATTCACTGTGGAAATATGACAATGTTTACTGTTTGTATTGCGTCTCATTCTGGAAATTACTTTTAGGCTATGCTTGGATGACATGAATCTGGAGAGGGAATGGGTATCTCAATACTAATAATGCAATTACTAGTAATTAAATTCTCATGTCAATACTATTCAAGCGTTTGATTTCTTTAGGGGGGCCTTTTTTTTTTTTTTTTTTTAACTTTTAAATGGATAGCTTTCCTTCAAGAATGCGAGATTCTCATTGGGAAGTGGCGGAATTGGATTCTTATTTGGATTGGGAATGTGATTCCTCGTGAAATAAATAATCAGGAGTTACTTTCCTATTCCTGATCCCTTCCAAGCACTAGAATCATGGGAACCTAAAATCACATTCCCATTCCCCTCAATATTATTATCATCCAAACTTAACCTTAGGGAAGGCATCTTTTCTTCTGATTTGCATCCTGTTTTCTCCCAACATTTCCTCTGCTAGGGGGAAAGAAGCATAAAAGTCTGAAAGATTAATTTGTTGATGCAGGATGTTACAGTCATTTTTAGAAGAAGAGGAGGTGATGATCTTGAGCAGAGCTATAGCAAGTGGGAAGAGACTGTACAAACAGCACCAGATGTGATTAACATGACATTTACTCCTATTGTTTCTCTGCTTGAAGGGGTACCTGGAATAAAGTATTTGGCTCGTGCAATTGAGTTGTATTTGGAGTGTAAGATCTCATTTAACGATTATCTGTGCTGTAGATCTCTTCATCATTCGTTTTGGATATATTGCAATTGAGGTGTAGATCTCACCTAACATGACATTTTCTCCATTTGTTTTTTCCGAAAAAAGGAAACACAAAACAAAAACACAACCAGACAGCAGTATGAGGAGCTAAATAATGAAAAAGATTCTGTCTACCTGCAATCTCATTCTAAACTCATTTCTACGTAGCAAGAAAAAATGAATTTACATATATTACCATCAAAATGAAGTATATATAATCCTCAAGAGTAAACTCATCCCTCAATACTGTGAGATTCCTCTTGCTTTGCTATCGTAGAAAATGTTTAGCTGTATTTATGTATTATTTGTACTACTCCTAATAATTGATTGGAACAAATATTTTTATGAAACCTATGACCTAAGTTAACAGGTATTTGGAATTCAATAGTTGCACCCAATTTTGTAGTGGATATACATATATATATATATATATATATATATATATATTTTTGAGTTATAGTAATATCTACCCACAGACTCCTTTTGATGGGAACTAAACTGGGCATACTTTTTGTTTTTTTGGTTTTTTCAAAATTTTTTTAGTAATATCTGCAAATAAGCTGGGTAAAATCTAGCCATGTTTTTTTCCTCATTGACAATGGACTAGGTTTAGTTTATTATCGACTTGAATCTTATTTTTTTTATGGTTAATGGATTGTGTTAGTATTGCCTTGATGCTTAGGGTCTTTCTAAAAAGTTAAATAAGAGTCAATTTCTGAGAGGTGTTAATATCCTATACAGTACTCACATTTAAGGGTTGTTTTGAAGATTGTATTTATTGTTTCGAATATGTAATATATGTATTGAACATGCTTTCATCTTTCTTCATAAATTGTATCTGATTGTCTATTAATTGTCTCTATTAGACAAGCCCCCAATTGAAGATTTGCAGTTTTTCCTGGAATTTCAAATTGCTCGAGTTTGGGCTCCAGAACAAAATAACCTTCAAAGGAAGGAGCCTGTTTGCCCATCCCTTCAGTTCAGTTTGATGGGTCCCAAACTTTATATAAGTCCCGATCAGGTATTTACATGGTTCCCTATTCCATGTTGTTGAGTTTGATTTGGAGTTATGACTTGGAATACTTTGAAATGTATTAATTCATGTGCAATGGGACCGATGACTTTTAGTTTTCAAAATGGGCTGTGATGTATCTTACTCTAAAGTCATTTTCATCTGTGCTGATAGAAAATGGGTTTGAAAAAAAAAAAAAGTTGAATGTCAACATGCATGTGAAATATCTTATAGGTTTATATGAATTTTCTTCTTCTTGGCCAAGGTCTTTCCCAGCTAGTGTTGTCAAAAAATGCTAATATCTTAGTGAATTACATTTTGAAACATACGTTTCAAAATATGGTACACTTTTGTTCCAAACAATAAATTCAGCAGTCTAAACCAATCCAAAAAGGTTTTTTCAATATATTTCCTACAGGTTTCCTTGGTTAAAAAATATGTATAATAATGAGCTAAAATCGAATGTGGGTGAAGTTTTGATAGGACAAAACATATAAAAAGAAAAAAAAAAAGGATTTCAAAGAAACTACATTTTATTGGATATTGCTAAAAGAAAGTTGCTTTAGAAGTATCTCAAATTCTTATAGTGTAATCTATACAAATCTACTCCTTTTGTATCACATTTTAGAGCATGTGGCATACTACATTCCCATTCCACGTACCACAATGATAGCATACATAAAGATCTCTTTCTTTTTCTGTGTCTAAACGTGCTCATGATATTGCAGGTAACAGTTGGGCGTAAGCCAGTCACTGGACTTAGACTCAGCCTAGAAGGCAGCAAGCACAATCGACTTGCTATCCACTTACAGCACTTAGCTTCTCTTCCCAAAATCCTTCAACCTCACTGGGACTCACACATGGCCATAGGCGCACCCAAATGGCAAGGTCCTGAGGAGCAGGACAGCCGTTGGTTCGAGCCGATCAAGTGGAAGAACTTTTCCCATGTCAGCAGCTCACCCATTGAGCACACCGAGACTTGCATTGGAGATCTCTCTGGCGTTCACATCATCACCGGGGCTCAACTCGGTGTTTGGGATTTTGGAGCCCGAAGTGTCTTACACCTCAAACTTCTCTTCTCGAAGGTACCTGGATGTACAATAAGGCGATCTGTATGGGATCACAGCCCCTCCAACGCTTCCACTAGTGCTTCTACATCGAGCGAGAGAAGCGCTGATGATAAAAGAGGAGACAGTTCGAGCCAGATTAGCAAACTGGCAAAAATTGTGGACATGACAGAAATGTCGAAGGGCCCACAAGACGTTCCTGGTCATTGGTTGGTTACGGGGGCTAAGCTAGGTGTAGACAAGGGAAAGATTGTGTTACGCGTGAAGTATTCCTTATTGAACTACTGATAAAACCTTTTTTTTTCTGTCAACTCGTCTCAGTAGAGTGCATTGTCACATTCTTTTTGCACAGTTGTTCTTGTTCTTCTGTACATTAGTTTTGATTATTATTGTTATAATTCTTTTTGTTAGTTTCTTTTGTTTTCATCTCTTTTTTGGTTTTCTATTATTCGAATCAATGGATGGAGTAAAAATGTTCTTTTTTTGTAACGACTTTGACTCTTGTGTTGAGTCTCACATCGGAAATCTGAAAGTTGCTAAACAACCACCTATGAAACCAAATGATACATTTGGGTAGGGCTTTTCAGTTTTGAGTTTGTGGTATGCTTGACTAATATGTAAAACAATGTTGTATACATTGAAGAATAATGGTGATCAAAGTGATGAAATTGACAGGGGAAATGTTTTAGTTTTCTTGTCGCATTGTTATGGGAGATTAAGAGTTGGCCTCAGAGATGAAAATGTTCCTTTACTTGACCTAATGTCTAGGTCTGAATGTCACCATTAGATGGATCGGATACAGTTTCTCTTTCTTACAGTACATACTCCAGAAAAGATCAAATGTCCAAATTATGATTTTTGTGATATTAGTTTATGATTAATTTCAATTTAATTATAATTTATTGTGTTAATTGATAATTAATGTTGATTAAATTCATACTAACATGATCTTATATCACAGGATGAGTCTTTTCGAAAAGTGAAGTTTTGATCAAAGTATAAGAAGAGAAAAATAAATATATTTATGATTTTTTTTTTTCTTTTTTTTTTTATCTTCTATAGAAAAATTACAAAAATTAGTATGAATAAGAAGGAATTTTAAACTTTTTTTTGACAATTTCAAACATATTTTCTTGACAAATTTTCAACAACATTTTGTCTCATTTTAACTTTTCCCTCATTTTGGAAAGAGTAATGTATTTGTAGAGCACCGAATAACCTAAACAAAGAGACTAACAGGTTCACAAAGTGTCCTTGATATTCAACACATGGCAAGAGGCAATGTATTCGTTCACCCATGGCTACGATTTTTTAATATTTATTGCAGAATATCACAGTTGTTAGCAGCTATTTTTATTTTTTTTTATATTTTATTTTGGGTTTTGTGCCTTTTTTTTTTTTTTTTGTTTAGATGAGAAAGACAAGTAACATCTGACATATTGATCTTGCACAATATTATTGTGATTGTATTCAAAAGTAAAAGCTTGTTATAATTGGTTATATTTTATGTTTTGGTGAACATTTGTAAAACAATTGCTTGGTTTTTTTTTTATCGCATGGTAGCTTAATATTAGTTCAGGCATGTGTAAGTGGAAATGATGTTTTGAAAAAAAAAATATTAATTGATTAGGATAAAATGAATTAATGGAATAATTGTTAAAAGTGATTTTTTTTTAAGGTCCCTGGTATTAAGATTTTATAGCATAAAGGACACTTAATATTTTCATAATATCTAAGGTCCCTCAACATCGATTCAAAAAAAATTCGATCCAGAGAATTTCTCTGGACAAATCACAGAGAAAATTCCAAATTTCTCTGGACACATCACAGAGAAAATTTCAAATTTCTCTATACACATCACAGAGAAAATCTCACCAAAGAATTTCTCTGGATTCAACCCAGAGAAATTTCTCTCTCCACCCCAAAGAAATTTACTCAATCCCAGAGAAAATCCCCTCCAACCAGAGAAATTCACTTGTATTGTCTGCAGTTTGATGGCTTCAATGATTTGATCCAACATTTTTCTTATACTACAAAAAGAGACTTGATCCAATAACCATATTTATGTCTATATTCATAATGAATTCAACATACAAAGCAATCTTTGGAATTTCTCTGGGTTCAAGACCTTGAACATTCAAATTTCTTTGGATTAATTTCTCTGGACTAACATTCAAATTTCTCTGGATTAACATCAAATTTCTTTGGATCTCTGGACTAACATCAAAAACCCTTGAACCTTTTTCAAATTTCTCTGGACTAACATTCAAATTTCTATGGATCTCTGGACTAACATCAAAAACCCTTGAACCTTTCACAAATTTCTCCAGACTAATATTCAAATTTCTCTGGACTAACATCAAATTTCTCTGGATCAACATTTAAACCCCTCTATCTATCCAGAGAAAATTGAACACCGCAAAAAAAATTAAACAAGGCATAAAAAATTAAGTGGATGAGAAATCTATTTAGAGAGAGAATTGTTACTTTAATCAAGAGCTGAGTCATGTACTCACAGAAATCTATGACCGCGGAGGCTAGAAATCCAGATTCTTGTGTCACTGCAGGAATTGCAAGGATCTCTGCACCAACCTGTTTATAAAATTCAATTGTAATGCATGTAACACTCACTCATGGAATAAGAACAAGGGTTTAGCTAAAATTATAAATGAGGAGCTTTTCATTTATATCATACAATATTGTCAAACATGGGCCACCAAAAATTTTCAAATGCTTAGCAAAAACTAACTAATTCCTCTAAAATATTTCCTAGTTTTTCCCTCTTTGCACCAAATTCTTGGCAAGAGGCCAACTCTTAAACATTTTAATTTATTCTATATTTTAGTGAGAGCTTCGTGCACTAACTCACTTTTTTTTTTCTTTTTTAATTTAAGTTTAGGATTGTGAATATTGCAACCAAAAATCCACCTTGTTTTGGGGGGTTTCTAATGTGAATGAGTAAACCATGTAAAGACAATATATATATATATATATATATAAGACATTGCTATTTAAGATAAAAAATTAGACCTAATTTTTAAGCCAATGATGTGACAATCAATTATGATATTATAAATAACACTCTCTCATACATATTCTACTCATCAACCAATCATATCACTTACACATTGAGTCTAGAAAATGGGTTTAGAAAGTGTGTTTGTATATCATTATAAATAACACAGAGATTTTCTCTGGACCTCCTAGAGATTTTCTCTCCAATTTCTCTGGGCTTGGGCTTCCCAAAGAATTTCTCTGTGTTTTTGACCAATTTTCTCTGATTTGCTCAAAATTTTTCTCTGTGTTTTTGATCAAGCCAGAGAAAATTGAACAATCACCATTTTTATTTTGACCAATTTTCTCTACACTATAAGACATTCAAACAACAATCCAGAGAAAATTGAACATCAAACTTACAAACAGAGAAACACCTCAAAAGCACTAGCTAACAACCAAAGCATATTAGAACTAAATACTACCAATGGAACTTCTAAGACAGGAGGCAAAGAAGCACGGCCATATAATATTATTGCAATTAGTAGTCAGGATCGCACTATAACTGTTTGGACAACTGCAAGTCCTCATCCCCTCTTTGTGGCCAAGCATTTCTTTACTCAAAGTGTCATGGATTTATCCTGGTTAGTTAGCTATTCAATTGTCAAAATAGCTCTTCATTATGTAACTTGATGATATTGGTTAGTATATTTTTTAATCTAAATTCTCTTTTGCCTGCCTGATAAATTCAACTTATTTATTTATTATTCTTTGGAACAGGAGTCCTGATGGGTACTCACTCTTTGGAACAGGAGTCTTGATGGGTACTCACTATTTGCATGCTCCTTGGATAGGACAATGGCTACTTTTCACTTTGAGGAGAAAGAACTTGGTTAGAGGCTAACTAATGCTGAATTGGATGAGTTGAAGAGAAATCGCTATAGTGATGTTAGAGGGGGGCAACAGGCAAATTTAGTAGAAAGCCTAGCATAGTTGCTGCTTGAAGCAGCCTCGGCAAAAAAAACCACAAACAAAAAAGTGACAGCAGATGTCCCACAAAACCAGATGCCTAAAAAATATTCTACTCATTTGGAGGTTGCCATGAAGGCTTCTGAATCGCAAGTTGATGATGGTAAGAAGAGTGGAGGACCTAGTGTCGATGCGTTAAATAAAGTGGAAGCTACTGCTCGAATGTCTAGTCTTGTGAAACAAAGAGAATATAGACGCCCTAATGGAAGAAAGAGAATAATTCCTGAGGTAGTTGGAGTGCCTGGTCAGCAGCAAAATATATCTGGTGATGTTCAGTCGCAAGCACTTGACTTCCCTCTGAAGTCTTCGGGTTTCGATTTTTAAAGCGGGTTCCGAAAGAGAAGATGAAGAAGAGAGAGAGAGAGAGAGATGAAGGAGATCGGCAACATGAGAGTGAGAGAAGCACGACGGCAATAAGTGGTGGCGATGGCAGATCGAGCAGCGACGGCAGATGAAGAAAGACAGAGATGAGGTTTGATACGAGAGAATCAAATTTCTCTGTGATATATAGGTATAGGGGTTAAGGGACCTTAGACATTACAAAATAATATTGTGGACTTTTTCCATTACTAAAAGTGAAAGAGGGATCTTAGATTAATTTTTCCTTGTTTAAATTGATAATTAAATATAATAGTTTAAAGGGAAAAGTGATTTTTTTTTTTTTCAAAATCTGAAAAATATGTTAAGAGATTATTTATTGTCAGTGACATTTTCATTTATAGGCATCACATATATTCTTTTAGGAGCATACTCATTATTGGCATTAATGATGTTTTATAAACCATTTGATCTTATTTAACAAAGGTTATGTGGTGTTGGTAATTTTATGTATAGGGGTTGAATACATAATATCACACCGCATTTTTGAAACACTACCACCTGATGAACAAAAACTTTGGCACTCCCATGCCTATGAGGTACACCACCTATCTTTTCTTATAAATTTTTTTAAATTCATATAAATCAACAATCAAATGCTAAGTAATGTGAATGTTTTGATGGTTCAGATTAAATCAAGGCTATGGGTGAATCCCCAGGTCCCCGAGATGATGTTGAAGCCCGAACTTGAAAATCTTGCCAAAACCTAGGGCAAATTTTGGTGCACTAGACAGGTTGATAGAGGTAAATGATTAATATTTTTATTTATTTATTTATTTTTTGAGCTTAGAAAAAGAAGCTCTGTGGTGTCATCACAGTCTCCACAAACTCTGGCCTCGGGATAGCCGGTTGGGTTCCCCTCTTTATTAACATGGTCTTTTGTTTCAAAATCTTAAATCGCATATGTTTAGGCCTTATTTAGGGTGATGATTTTTTGATTAAAATAATTACAAGTTAAAATACTTAATCAAAATTTTCTCCTTATTTTTATACAAGACTTTCTATAAAATAATTAACTAAAATAATCGCTTGCTAAACATGCCCTGGCCCCATTTGTTTTGGGGGATAGAGGGGGGGTTAAGATTGAGATGGAAGTGAGACTTACTAATGTTGTGTTTATTTTGAGAGATAGAGAGATGATTCATAATCTCTTTCGGATTAAAATATGCCTTAGGAGGGGATTAGGATAGAGACTTAGGACTTGATATTAGAAAGTAGTTTGCCGGACTATTTTTTATTTATTTGTTTATTTTTTACATGTTGAGAATTTTTTTTTGAATATTAATGTTTAATTTTTTATATTTTTTTATTTATTTTATTAGTTTATATAAAAATAATTTAACAATTCTTATACCAATAACTATCATAAAAACAAACGCAGTTTTACTATCATCTCCCTTACTATTATTTCTATCACTACAAATCCCTTCTATTCTATCTCTAAAAACAAACCAACTCTATCAATATTTGATAATTCAGAATCCATTAACATTTGTCCTCAAATTTTTTTTCTAAACGCTAACATTTCAGCGTTGACTCATGTGGTCTCACAACCTTGTCAAGATCACTCAAGGCTACATGTACACCTTATTTACACCCAAGTCCAACCTCCTCCTTCAACATATACCCATCTTACATCCATTTCTGAATTCGACTTCCAAATCACATCTCACTCACGAACCCTACACAGTTGATTCTCTGCGTTTCTTCTCCAAAAAAAATAACAATAAAAAAAAAAATCAAACGACTCAAACAATTCTAATTTCTCGCTTTCTCTGTTTCGGTCTTGTCAATTTCATGGAGGGTGAGCCAGTGAAGCATGTTTATTCGGTGTGGGCGATTCCACCGGAGGACGTGAGGGAGCGGCTGAAGAAGCTGATGTTGGCCCTCCGATCGGAGTTCGGTGGGCCCGAATTCGAACCCCACATAACCGTCGTCGGCGCCATCAGCCTGACGGAGGACGACGCGCTCGACAAGTTCCGAGCCGCCTGTCACGGCGTCAAGCCCTACACTGCCACCGTAGAGAAGGTGGCCACTGGAACCTTCTTCTATCAGTGCGTTTTTCTTCTTCTCCATCCTACCCCTGAGGTAATTTTGAAATTTCACTCTCTCTCTCTCTCTCTCTAGACTCTATCTATCTATTTATCTATCTATCTATCTCTCTATATATATTCATACATAATTGATAGTGTATATGTGTGTGTAGTTTTATATGAAATTTGATTGAAGTACAAGGATCAGCATTTTGGGTATAATTTGGTTTGTATATGGGATTGGCAAGTAAATTATCAATAGGTCTATCAATTTTCATTAAGTCATATTAAATATAAATTATAGTAAAATCGTCGCTAAAAATAATTTTTTTGTAATGATTTTTTGTAAATGTCGCAAAAACTTGACAATTAGTGACTTTTTTTTTGTCATGGTTATTATAAATTGTTGTTAAAACTTACAATTAGTGTCTTTTTCTTTGACAAAATTTTTAAATTATCGCTGAAAGTTAAAAATTAGTGACATTTTTTTGTAATGATTTTTTTAAGTTGTCACTAAAATTTATAATTAGTGACATTTTTTGTAACAATTTTCAAACTGTTGTTGAAAATTAACAATTACTGATGTTTTTTAATAGTGTTTGATGAAAAATTTCATAAATTATTATAGGACTTATTGGATAATAAGTTCATTTATTAGAACTTACACGCAAGTCTCCCTCTGTTTTAGATCATTTTGGATATAATTGTTACAGATAACTTTTTACATTTTAAATCAAATTTCAGTCTTACCTTCCATCCATGTTGTCACGTCTCAACCCTGGTTGCTTAGGGCTGGAATCGTAACTTGCTAATTAATTTTAATTTTAACAATTAAGTGGCGGAGACGAAGGCGGAGGCGGAATGAAAGTAAGAAAGTAATTAAATAAATAATTTACTTATTTTACTATTTCATTAAAAGGAAATACATCCATCGGGCTTTTTTTATTTTATTATTCAGTGACAAACAATTATAAAAACAAATAGAGGAAAAAAAAAAGATCTGCATCAAATTCCGTGCTGGTCTCACTACACAAGATTACAATCCTTCTTTATATTTCATCAGGTAACAGCTATAAGCACCTGGCAGAGTGAGAGATATTATGCCAAGAGCGTAGGGCTCAAAATAATCATGGATAGTTATTTAAGTTAAAACATTATACAAACTTAATTTGAATAAATAAAGTATGTAAGTGGCAAAAACTAAAATCTAGAAGTTAAGTGAACAAATAACTATAACCACAGTATAGAATAGAACAGAACAGAGGTCACTAGAGTGACAATCAGAACATGGGTCAATGGATCCATGACAAACAGAAGGTCACAAAGTGATTAATCAGAGGCTAATGGTAATTTAAGTCCCTCAAAGCATGGGACTCCCGTGGTGGTACTCACAAAAATAAATATTTATATAATCATTGCCAAATAATTTCTAATCTTGTCAAATTATTTCTAAAATTTAAACAATCATATCCATGGATTTCAATTTAAGCAAGTAGAGTTCTGAAAATAATTAATGTAATTGAAATATTAATATAATTTATAAAACATGAATTACATAAAATAAATTATGGTAACTCGTAAAATATGTTATAGTGCCTCAAGGTATAATATAACTCACTTAAATATTGTTTTCCTAAATTTGTTTTTCTTTTCCTTCCCCGTTTCTATTGTACCGCAGCTCCCAAATATTTCTTTTCTTTGTTTGCTATCTTAACTCACTATTTATGCTGAGTTCTTGTGGTGAGATCTGTGACACGTTGCTCCCAAACCTTTTTGACACCTACTTGGTCCAAATCATCCTAAGCAATTCTTATCTTGTTTGTAATTATAACCCTTGCACAGGTGGCTAAGTTTGGAGATGTACAACAATCTTGCCACCTTTCACCTAAATTCCTTTTTGGCCCGACTAACTTTTTTTTTTTTTTTTTGTTGTTGGTTACATACTTTTTTATATTTTACATATGATAACCTGAATATAAACTATATTTTAGCTCTTCCAATTATAAAATTTAAATATTTTATTTTATATATTTGTTTATTTTTATTACATTAATTAAATATTTGGAGTGTCATATTTCTCCCCTCCTAAATAGAAGTTTGTCCCCAAACTTGATGTACCTTAGTTTTCGAAGGGATGTGGGTATTTGGCTCACATTTGATTTTCAGTTTCCCATGTTGCCTCTTCGATACGATGATTTCTCCACAAGACTTTTACAAGAGGTATAGTCTTGTTTCGGAGAACCTGATCACAACGATTGAGAATTTGCACTGGTTGTTCTCCGACGAAAAATCGAAACGTGGAACACATTGTGAACATTGGACAGTTCTAGTGGAAGAGCAAGACGGTATGCTACAGGGCCAATTTTTTTTAGTATTTCAAATGGTCTGATGTAACACGGGTTCAATTTTCCTTGTTTTTCAAATCGAATGACTCCCTTTGTTTGTGAGACCTTTAAGAAAACATGCTTTCATACCTGGAATTCCAAATCCCATCTCTGTGTATCCGCATAGCTTTTCTAGCGGCTCTGAGCAGTGTGAATTCGTTGTTGGATGAGTTGAAGTTTATCACTCTTCATTTGCACGATTTCAGGGCCTAACAACTTCCTGTCTCCAACTTCCGCCCAACACAGAGGTGATCAACAGCTCCTTCCACATAGTGCTTCGTACGGTGCCATTCCAATGCTTGCTTGGTAATTGTTGTTATAGCAAATTTCACTAAAGGTAGGTGCTCATCCCAATTACCTTTGAGGTCTAGCACGCACACACGTAACATATCTTCCAAGGTCTGGATTGTCCTTTCGTATTGTCCATCAGTTTGCGGGTGATAGGCAGTACTAAACTTCAGTGTGGTTCCCAAAGTCTCTTGCAATTTGTTCTAGAAGTGAGATACGAAGCTGGGTTCTCGGTCAGACACGATTGAAATTGGGGTGCCATGCAATCACAGTGGCAAACTTATTGAGAGTGTACTTGACTCTAACCGGTAGAAAATGCACCGACTTTGTCAATCGGTCTACTATAACCCATATCACATCATTCTTCGAGATTGACCGTGGTAGCCTGACCACAAAGTCCATAGTAATGTGTTTCCATTTCCATTCAGGAATGAGGAGTGGTTGTAGCGTTCCTGCAGGTCTCTGATGTTCTGCTTTAACACGTTGACAATGCAGGCATTTGGAGATGTGGCTTGCTATGTCTCTTTTCATTCCTGTCCACCAGTAGTATTCCTTCAGATCGTGATACATCTTTGAATTGCCAAGGTGGACTGCAAACCTCGAGCTATGAGCTTCCATCAATATCTTCTTCTTGAGCTCTGGAATGTTGGGTATGAAAATTCAATTTCGAAAGTTTAGCACCCCATTGCTTATAGTGAAATCTGGGTTGGGCGTATTTCTCTGCTCATTGTATTTTTTCTTTAGAAGTTATCTTCACATTACTCTAATTTCTTTTATCAACGTGGGTTCCACGATTATTTTGGTGAGTAATCCATTGATCTTGCGGGGAACGAGGGTACATGCCAAACTTTTAGTAGTCTTTCGACTCCATGTGTCAGCTACTATGTTAGCTTTGTCTGGGTGATGGTGAATTTCCACATCGTAGTCTTTCATAAATTTCACCCACCGTCGTTGCCTCATATTTAGTTCCTTCTGTGTAAACAGATATTTAAGACTGTTGTGATTAGTGTAAATCTCGCAGGTTACATCGTAGAGATAATGCCGCCAGATCTTGAGGGCGAAGATCACTGCAGCTAATTCTAGGTCATGGGTTGGGTAGTTCTTCTCATGAGTGTTTAGTTGACGTGAGGCATATGTAATGACTTTTCCATTTTGTATAAGAACGCAATCCAAATGTAATTAATGTAATAAAAATAAACAAATATATAAAATAACATAAAATAAAATATTTAAATTTTATAATTGGAGGTGCTAAAATATAATTTATATTCAGTTAGGGGTTATTGTATGTAATAATAATAATAAAAAAAGGGTTAGTCAGGCCAAATAGGAATTTAGGTAAAAGGTGGCAAGATTGCTGTACATCTTCAAACTTAGCCACCTGTGCAAGGGTTGTAATTATGAACAAAATAAGAATTGCTTGGGATGACTTGGACCAAGTAGGTGTCAAAAGGTTTGGGAGCAACGTGCTACAGATCTCACCACAAGAACTCAATATAAATAGTGAGCTGAGATAGCAAACAAAGAAAAGAAACATTTGGGAGATACGGTACAATTGGAAATGGGGAAGGAAAAGAAAAAAAAATTTGGGAAAACAATATTTAGGCAAGTTATATTATATTTTGAGTCACAACAACATATTTTACGAGTTACCATAATTTATTTTGTGCAATTCATGTTCTATAAATTATATTAATATTCCAATTACGTCAATTATTTTCTGAACTCTATTTGCTTAAATTGAAATCCATGGATATGATTGTTTAAATTTTAGAAATTATTTGACAATGTTAGAAATTATTTGGTAATGATTATATAAATATTTATTTTTGTGATTACCACCACGGGAGTCTCATACTTTGGGGGATTTAAATTACCATTAGCCTCTAATTGGTCACTTTGTGACTTTCTGTTTGTCATGAATCCATCGACTCCTGTTTTGATTGTCAGTCCAGTGACCTATGTTCTGTTCTATTTTGTTTTGTTCTATACCATGGTATGGTTATTTGTTTACATAATTTCTGAATTTCAGTTTTTGCCACTTACATACTTTATTTACTCAAATTAAGTTTGTATAATGTTTTGGCTTAAATAACTGTCTATGGTTATTTTGAGCCCAACGCTCTTGGCATAATATCTTTCACTCTACTGTGTATTTATAATTGTTATCTCTTTCAGGTGATGAAATATAAAGAAGGATTATAACCTCGTGTAGTGGGACCATCACTGAATTTGATGCGGATCCTTTTTTTTCCTCTCTTTGTTGTTATAATTGTCTGTCACCGAATAATAAAATAGGAAAAGCCCGATGGATGTATTTCCTTTTATTAAAATAGTAAAATAAGTAATCACGTTAATTATCTATTTAATTACTTTCTTACTT